GTTTATTTTACTCAGCATAATAATCTCCAGCTTTTGCGAAAGGTAAGCTTTCCTTTTTTTTTTTTTACTGCCATGTAGAATTCCATTGTGTAAATGTACCACAACTTTTTATCCACTCATCTACTGTTGCGTACTTGGACTATTTCCAGATCTTGGCTGTTATAAATAACATTGTTATGAACATAATGGTGCATGTATCCTTTCAAATTGGTGTTTGGGATTTTTAGGATATATTCCCAGAAGTGGATTGCTGGGTCAAAGGCAGTTTCATTTTTAATTTTCTGAGGAAATTCCATACTGGTTTCCACAGTGGCTGCACCAGTCTGCATTCCCACCAACAGTGTGCAAGGATTCACTTTTCTCCACATCCTCTCCAACACTCGTTCGTTGATTTATTGATGGTAGTCATTCTGGTAGGTGTAAGGTGATATCTCATTGTGGTTTTTTAATTTGCATCCCACATTTTTCTTTGATGAAGGAATAACAGAACTAATATTATGCTTACCAAATTACAGACTGCTTATATTCTATAGAGGGGAAAAAAGACTCCAAACAACTTTGATAAAAATCTGTCCTTCAAAACACAAGATTCAGTTCAGCTGTGATGGAGTGAAGAGTCTTCTTAAGGAAAAAACACCTGGAAATTCTGTGTGGAGAGATTACAGAAGGAAAGGCAGCGGAGCACCAGTTGACCACAGCAGCTAGCACATCGTGCTTTTGAAGGTGGGGCGGGGCGTGCTTGGGAATATCTCGAAAGCAGTAGGTTTGCCCTTTACCTGAAGACTAGGAAACAATTTTTCCTTGACTCTGTCCTTGTCAACTTTTTCTCAGGCTATTAAATTCAGTTGTAGGATTTTTTTTCTTACCATGTGGAAGAGTTACAGAAAGGTTAGACATATGGTACTCGTCACCTTCTGTCCTCTCATTAAGAAACAAGGACAAATTTGTTTTAGAAAATAAACAAGAATAAAAATGAGATAAATAAATCCTTTATCTTCAAGCTGTCAGAGATAAGTATTCTAAAATATTTTTCACCCTGGCTGGTGTGGGTCAGTGGGTTGAGTGCCAGCCTGCAAACCAAAAGGTCACTGGTTAGATTCTAGTCAGGGCACATGCCTGGGTTGCAGGCCAGGTCCCCTGTTAAGGGTGTGTGAGAGGCAACCGATCGATGTCTCTCCCTCTTTCTCCTTCCCCTCTTTCTAGAAATGAATAAATAAAATCTTTAAAAATGTTTTCAACTTATTTTTCAAAAACAGGATCATCGTATATATGCTGTTTTTAAAATTCACTTTCCCCGCTACCTTTCCAGCTCTGGCCCCAGATGCAGCAGCAGCCGCGATGTTAATGCCCAAGAACCAGACTGCCGTCTATGAACTTTTTAGGGAGGGAGTGATGGTGGCTAAGAGGGATGTGCACATGGCTCTATACCCTGAGCTGGCAGACAAGAATGTGCGTAACCTTCAGGTTACGAAGGCCGTGCTTTCTCTCAAATCACGAGGCTACATGATGGAACAGTTTACCTGGAGGCATTTCTACTGGTACCTTACTAACGAGGGCACCCAGTATCTCCGTGTTTACCTCTCCCTGCCCCCTAAGATCATGTGCTGCAGCTGCCCTGAGATTGGCAGGCCAAAGCCCACAGGTCTGGAGAGCAAGTGACCTGCAAGACTCACACAAGGGAAAGCTGACAGAGACATGTACAGCCGGACCACTGTGCCCCCTGGTGTGGACACGAAAGCCCAGGCCAGGGCTGCATTAGCAACCAAATTCCAGTTTAGAGGTGGATTTGGTCGTGGACCTGGTCAACCACCTCAGTAAAGTTGGAGGGATTATTTTGTGTTGAATAAACTTGTGGTCAGAAAATTAATAACAATAATCAAATAAAATCTACTTTTCCACTTACAGCATGAATGTTTGCTTTACTAAAAAACATCTTGTTATTAACAGCTGTAAAGAATTTCATCACACAGATGTGGTTGCACTTGATTAACACAGTATCATATACTGGATAATTTGTTTAACTACGACCATAGCAGCTGGAAAAACAAAGTTTATTAAAGGAATGGAAATGATACCAAACATGATAAAAGTAATATGATCTTGGACTTCGATTTTGTAGTACAGATAACACAGCTACCCTCCCCACATCAAGACAGGCCTGGACCACACCCCCTCTTTCTGCACCACTCATGCACAAGCCTGAGTGGCTGTCCGTCTGCAGGACCAGGTAGAGCAGCCTGGATCACTAGGAAGTGAGGGGAGCTGTGGATTCTGTGGCATAGTTTGAAGGGATATGCATCTCTTCTAGCTGGATCCAGACAGATGAAATATTTCTACCAATAGAGTCATTCCTGAGGGTCAATGAATGAGAGTTCTGTCTCTTAAATACCCCTGGTAAGGGCAGGGCACATGTGTAATCAGTCTTTACCCAGAGGGACTTCAACAGCATGGGAACATGACATTTCTGAGAGCTTTCTAGAAGCCAGTGAGGGCATGGACCAGGAGGTTTAAGTCCTGAGGTCACACGCTGCAGCTGGGATCATTTATGGTCTTGGGTAGTTAAAATTTGGAAGGAATAAGCCAGTCTGTTCTCCAAATTTCCTCTCAGTAGTCTTCACGGAAGTGACACTGAAAGGTTGTTCTGTCTAAACCCCGGACTCTGTCTTGCCTTCCCTCTCAATCCTCTGACCTGGCTAGACCCACCTACCAACATAACCTGTTCCTCCCTTCGTTTGAATTATATCAGTGAATGTTACCATCATTTGTTCAGTTGCCAGATTTAGTGATTTTTGTTTCCTTTCTCACCCTCACAGCCCACCTAGTCATTAGTTATTGATTTTGCCTCTGGATTATTCCCGAAATCTTTTTCCACATCCTCAACCTCAGGACCACTGCCTGAGTATAAGGCATCTGATTTTCCAATCCAGCTCTAGAAGGGTCTATCTGACATTGGTACTGATCATGTCACACCTGTGACATAGGTACCCAAACTCTTCAGTATGGGATGTAGTGATTGTCACAACCTGGCACCCACTAATTGTAATCTATTCTCCCCAGCTCCTATTCTCCAGCCACATCAATTTATAAGACTTCTCCTTATCACCCCTTCTGTACCACACCTTTGTGGGTATTCCAGTCAAAATTTGGCAAACTCTCATTTATCTGTCAAGAGCTAGATTATATGTCCCCCTTGTAACTTGAATTTCCTTGTTCCTTATTTTGGTATAATCGTTTCCTCTTCCCACCTAGATTGTGAACTTCTTGAGGGTAGGGCAGGGACCTACCCCTGCATTTAGCATGGTGCTCAGTAAAAAGACACTCAACAAATGGTTATATTAAAGGGCTAGTGCCTATATACTCTTGTATTGCAATCCGTTCATGTGTATGAGGTGTGACCAGGTCTGGTGTGAGTCATTATTTAACAAGCATACCAGAGTTTATATATGCAAACAAGAGCTGCTGCCTTCAAAGTCTTCTCCTTCTGAGACTGGATACTTCTGACAGTGATGCTGTCATTGCTCAAAACATCTTTGGAATACTCTCAGAAACAACTTCAGCACTCACATCACTTTCTTTCCAATATCCTCTGTGGTAGCATTTTTTTTTTGTTTTTTTTCAATATTTTTAATGCATTTATCCCAGACCACAAGATGGTGCTGGATGGAAGATAAGATAAATCAGATATTTACTCAGTCTTCAAGGAAGTTTCTGATTGGTGAGGGAGATAAGACCTGGACAACTATTGCAATTCAAGGTTCAGTGACAATAGTCCATAGAGGTTGTATTTGATTTTTGGAAAAAGCCAAAGTCCTTTGGTTTCAACCTCCCAACAAGGTGGGTGACAGAGGTATGTGATAACATCCTGCTTTAAGCCATTATGTTCTGAAGACTTCCAAATGGGAGCCCAGTGTGTTTCCAGGACCTCTCTCCCTTTAAGATACTAAATTCTCCTGGTGTGTTTGTTTAAAATCGATACCCCACTTTATGGCAATGCTCTTCCTTGTATAGTCTTCCCAGCTAAATGATGAGCTTTTTGAGGGCAAGTGCTGACGTCTCATCCTTCATCAATGTTTTCACACCACCTGGTGGACATATCATACCTGTTGGATACTCATTGAGTTACTCCGTTCCCCCTTGAGTACTCTGTACTGACAGCTCTGCGGATCAGCAAGCGACAGAAGGGAAAGGATGAGGACTAATGCCGGGAGGGGACCAGTGGGGGCACTGGAAGAGGATCTGGGACTAGAGCCCGCAGTTCCTGCTTCCTGGTTCCCTGGAGCGAAGGCCCCGTGGTGTGAGCCGCTGAGAGGCACCCGCCCCTCCCCTGCCTTTCGCGGACTCAAGCGCAGCGACGTCCGTCCGCCCGCCGCCAGGGACGCGGAGGGTAACGAGGTGCGAAGCCGGGGCCGGGTCCACAGACAAGACACCACCGCCCTGGCTAAGGGGAAGGCTTTCAGCTCCTAGGAAACCGAGTAAGAGACTCCGCCCGGTGGGGCAGTAACCCGGAGCTTGGAGCGAAGAGTCCGGCCGAGAGATCAAAGGGAAAGTTTGTGTGCAAGCAACCGCTGAGGCCGGATCCCGAAGCTGAGGTCAAAGTCGGGGGTCAGCGCCACGCTGCTCCGCGCCCGCCGCCCCTCCCCCGTCCCGCTCCCTCCCGCGCTAGCCCCGCCCCGCCCCGCCCCGCATCCCCCTCCCCCGTCGGCCCACTTCCCAGTCTCCACCCCGAGGGGCCGGTGGCGGGGCCGCCACTCCCTCCGGCTCCCTCCCTCAGCTGCGCGCATCTCATACCAGCCCTCATTCCGCACATTCCAGGCTCCCTCCTTTCAAACTCCAGGCCGGTGGCGGGAGGGTCCGCAGCTCCCGGTCCAGCGCCAGCCGCCTGGTTCCCCAGGTGAGTGCCCGGCTCGCCGCGCGCCCCAGCCGCGTGTTCCACCGGTTCCTTTCTTTCCGCCTCGCCCCTTCCCGCCCTGAAACGCGGGCTCCGGCCGTGCTGGGGGCTCCGTCGCCCTCTTAACACCCTGCTCCCTTCGCAGCTGCCGGACCCCTCTTGTTCCCCCCGCCCCCCGCGCGGGCCAGCTTCTCCGGCTCCCTTCCCCTGGCCGTTGACTCACCGCTCCAGGAATAGGGATCTCCTGTGTTTTCCCGGCAGTCCCGTTCTGGGAAAACTCCTCCCTCCGCGCGCCGCTCCGCGAGTCAGACGGGGTGGCAGCGAACTGGGCTCGGGGCGCTGGGTCGGCTGGGTTTGCTGCCCCGCCTTCCTCCCCGCCCTGCGGGTCGTCCTCCGAGCTGGAGCCCGGTTTCCACGCGCTGATCTCCGGCGTCCCTGCAGAGCCTGCTCCGAGCTCCCAGGAACCCAGCAGAGTTGCGGCTTCAAGAGTTGGCGCGCCGAACAGACTCCTAGAACTAATTTAGCGCAGCTGCCGCACCTTCCCGCACTCTGGTACCGGTAAGGCTGCGGCGCCGGGAGGTGCAGGGAGATATTAGGTCTTCGCGGGAGGGCAGGCATTGGTGTGTGGGGCGGGGGGGGGGGGCGCGTGAGGAGCTCTGAACCGGATGGACTAGGAAGAGGGCTGGGCACGTGGAGCCCGGGGTGGGATACAGAGTCGGGGTGGGATACGAAGCTCGTGGGGAAAGAAAGGGGAGTCTGGAGAGCTGAAAGGACCAGAGGTAGAACCGAGAACCCCGGAGATGGAAGAGACCTAGCGTCCACGCCTCTTTATCCTGTTTGGCCCTTTTGGGGCTTGCAAGATATCCCTGGAGGTAGGCGTGTTGGTTGTTTTAAGTGCTAAGGCTGTGCTAGAGCGGAGGGGACCCTTACCAAGGTCCCTGCTCTCCAGGGCTGAGAAGTCTGGTGTTTCCATGATGGGATTTGTAGATCTAGGGAGTGGAACTCCCAGATCTCAAAGCAGACCTTTCCCAGGAACACGCCCTCTGTGCGCAGGTGTGTAGAGGGAGTTCTGGTCAGACCTAGTGGATATCTGATGAACTCACTGTGAGGTAGTCTGACTGTCATATCTCCTTAGTTTTGGGTGTATGTGAGGGTAGTATCTGTTCACATATGACTCACCTTGGCTTCCAGTAGGTGCATTTGTTTGAGTCTATTTCCACTTGAGAAAGAGTGCTGTCTGCCTGAGTGTTTGTGCATCTCTAAGTGTGTATTTTTCTGTGAGGATGCTGGTTTGGGGCATGACTGTTCTTCCTCCCTGCATTACTGGGCCAGAGACAGTGCCTCTGGCTGTATGTGTGCAGGGCTAACTTGTGGCTGTTGGAGTTTGTGGCCCACAGGCTCCCCTGGTCCTGGACTGGGCAGAGCTCACTGAAAGCTGTGTTTCTGAGGGAGAGTGGGTTCTGTACTAGCTTGAAACAGTTAAGAAAACAAGCTGTAGAAGGCTAAAGGAAGCTGAGATCTTTGTGGTTTGTTGATGGGACAGGTTGTTGAAGATGAGAGTTGAGGATGATTATGGGGATGGACCCTCCCTAGCCAGAAAGAGGAGACCATTTGAACCTTGAGACTTGTTTAGACAACACTTTTAAAGTGGCCCCAAAGATAAAGAGAAATTCATGTATGCCAGCCAGAACTATTCTCTACTGGTCTAACTCTCCTTGAAGCTGCCCCTGCTGTCAAATGGATGAATCTTCCTATCTTTACAACTTGCTAGACTATTCTGTGCTTTCCTACTAGCACATACTAGCTCATGTCATAAGTGCTACAGTACCAGCCTGGGAGGGAAGGGCTGCCTCTGATTTGCTAGTTGACCAGTGGGAAGACCCCCCACCCCAGGGTGTCTCAGTTTCCCGATCTCTTTATTTCTGCTTTGCTTTCTGTTTTCCCTCCATTTGGGGTTTTACTATCTGGAAGCATTTTCAAGGAGTGAACTGAGTAGGGGACAGAGCCAAAATGTCCAGGAGATTCACAGAAGGAACATAGCCAGTGGGATTACAGAAGCAGACCTAACCTCAGAGTTCTGCACTTCCACAACATGGTGATGTGGGCATAATGTTTAGGATTTCTTAGCAGGAAGGAACAAGTCACTCTTATTGGGGTGGGAACTCTGGTCACTGCTCCCCAGTGGACCCTGAGGATGCAAATGTTCTGGTGGGACTGTCCTCACTCTCACTTGCTTAGGCCCGGTGTGCAGCTGGGGCTTCCAGGCTGTCTGGTCTAAAGGCAGGATCGATGGAGTCGAAAAGGTACTGGTTTGAGGTCAGACATACCTGGCTACAAATCCTGACCATCATTCACTGCCTTTGAGGCTCTCAGGCTGTTTCCTGATGAGTGCTATGAAAGGGGGTTATTTGAAATCTACCCACAAAGGTTGTTGTGAAATTTTGACGTTTGCAAAGTATGTAGCACAGTGCATGGCACAGCCCAGGGCCTCAGTAGCCAGTCTTCCCTGGGCTTATTTAAGCAAGGAACCTCTCTTTTCCTGGGTACCTCTCTGAACACCCTTTGACAAACCCTGCCATGTTCATTCATATTTATTTAGCAAACATGAATTGAACATCTACTATAGGCCAAGCCCTGAACCGTATTGTTCATCCTTAGGAACCAGGTAGCTAGTGAACCAGGTGAGGGTGGGGGCAGGGCTTTGTCTCAGGAGAGCACAGGGCCTCCCACTCCAATGTTTTAATTCCAGTTTTTCCCTGACCCCAGAGTGAACTTGCTGAACATTAATGGACACTCTAATGTCAGCATATAACTCCCTCATATTGAAGATGGGAAAGTTGAGGCCGCTGGAGGGACAGTAACTTGCTTAAGATCACACAACCAGTGAGTTGCAGACCTGGGACCAGAGTCTAATGTTTTCACTTTGCGTTCTGTCCCTTGCTCTGTGGATCCCGAAGCTCAGACCCCCGGTCACTTTCATCTAATGGGGTGGGGGCCAAAACCAAGTGACTTGGGCAATGTCTGTTATCTTGTGGCTCAAATAAGGTGGTTAGGAGGCAGAAATACTCCCCTGTGTACCAGCAAAAAGCATAGAACTGTGGAATCTGAGAATGCCAGCTCCGGAAGGGACCCTTAAGAGGTCTTTAAATGCACCCTTTTGGCTGGTCTGTACATTACTCAGCCAGGTGGAGAAGGGTCTCTATCTTCCAAGATCTCCTGGGATGCAAATGTGGCAGCCTCCTGTGGTTTCCATTCTGGAGTCTTGTGTGGGTGTCTGTCACAGAGCCATACCTGTTGCCTGACCTGTGGCTTCTCTCCTCTCCTGGGGGAAGAGGGGGACCTGGGTCTCCACATTGCTCTGCTACTTTTCCTGTAGTTGAGGTCAGTCTGGGGGCAGTGGGAAATTCGGGGCTTGTAAGGTTGGCTCTACCTTGCCTGTCTTCCTTTGCCCCCCATGACCCTTTGTTGGCAAGGGGTTGGGAGGAGAGCTCTCTTTAAAGCTCTGAAATTGGAGCTGAACAGCTGCTCTCCAGTCCTCCCTCCCTCCCCCAAGGGGTTTAACTGCTTAGGGGCCCAGGTGGAGGTCGGGGCAGGGCTTTGTCCCTGGGCAGCATAGTCTCCAAATCCTATGTTTTAATTGTACCTTTGCCTTGACTGCTTTTGAAATGACAGTTCTTCCCTTGCTTTTGGGGTTTCCATGTAGATATTGGGGAGATTATAATCATCTCCTCTATAATATGGTCCTGGAGCCTTCAGCTGGTCGAGACTGGACCTTTGGGAACATTTCCACTGGAATTGCAGTCCCTAAGATCTGTGATCTGTGCGCACACCTCCTGCCTTTATTACTGGTGGGCTTGTGGAAAGGCAGGAGGGTGGGCCTGGCTCCCTGTGCGCCAGCTCCGTGGTGGTGCTGGGGGTAGGCGGGCCCCTATGGGTGGGGACTCAGCTTCCTTTGACCCAAACTTCGTGGGAACAATAGACTTCAGAGGAGTCACCAGGGACAGGAAATGGGAGCTGTGCTAAGGCAGGGTAACCCTCCTGGGGGATGGGATTGCATATCCGGCCGATAGGAAGGGCTGGGTGTTGGGGGCAGTGCAGAGGGCACCGGGGAGGGGCTGATGACACACAGCGTTGGGCCTCTTCTCTGAAGGGGGCTGTTGGCTCAGAGAAACCTGAGCTGCTTGGAGCCCATTATTTGGCTGCGCCTTCTGCTTTATGTTTTACTAGCAAAGGCTAGTGTGTGGTACCTGCCACTCTCCCCTACTGCCCAGCTCACCCCTGCTGGACCAAATCTTCTTCCCCTTCTCTTCAACCCCCTAAGATGTCTTTGTGAATCATCCTGGCTTGGATAAAAGGCTAGTTTTGTTTCTTCCTGGATGGTCTCCATCTTGGCGTTGCGCCTTGAGTAATAATTGACTGGGGAGGCGATTTGTGCAGTGGGCAGAGCTCTGGGTGGGGAGGCAACAGGCCTGGACAACATAAAGGTGTTTGTTGTTTTTTGGTTTTTTTTTGCCACAAGCAGAGCAAGAAGACACAGACAGGACTGGCAGGGGAAGATTCCTGCTTGCAGCAGGTGGTGGAATGTTGTTCTGGGAGGCAGAGAGCTGTTATCTTGCCTCTGTCTTTGTAGGGGCAGAATAGACTTTGTGAGAGGCTTCAGGAGGGGTGTGGGAGAAAAGAGAGTCAGTCCACACTGAGTAGCTTTTTATGAGTTCAGGTTGCCAGACTTTTTATAGGTCAGGTTTCGGGGTCCTGAGAGAAATGGCAGGGGTGACCACAGAGTCATGGCAGGGTCTGAGAGAAGGGAAAAGTGTCAAATAACAAACACTGTCCTGATTTATTTATTTCTTCAGTGGGGCAGGGTGGGGATCCTGGAAATGGCAGGCTGGTGAGCTTCATCTTGATCCCCCAAATTCCAGGTCAGGTATTTCAGCAAACAATCTAAGAGGACTTCAAAGAGAAACTGAGATAACTAGTAGTCAGCAGGTGTTCACTCTGTCAAGTCTTAGAAAACAGTCTGGTTTGGGTGGGGGAACCTTCAGCAAGAACTTCCAGTCTCATGGTTTTCTTGGGTTTGAGAGGAGGCAATGCGATCTGACTGATGTGGCAGTAAGGTGGGTTTGCGTCCGGTTGAGAGGCTGCTCTGGGTCCTGGACTGAGCTCAGCCACTCTGGGGGAGGAGTCTAGTAAAATGCCACAGAACTCTCTTTGTGGCTTTGTCCTCTATTGATTCTGTGGGTGTTCAGGACAGCAAGCGTATGGGATGACAGAACCATGATTCACAATCATAATTGACTAGAATGCAAAAATTAAGCAGAAATATGAAATAACTAAAATTTTGTCTTAAGATTAATACATGCTCATTATAGAAGGCCTTTATAAATTAAAGGAGTAACAAAATGGTACATAGTATCACAACTTAGGGGTGAGCACAGTTAATGTTTTGGTATATATCCCTCCAGATTTGTATTCTTGCAAAACCATGTATTTTAATATAATTGCAATTATATGTCTTGCTTTCCCCCTACTGAATTCCCAGTCCAAGCACATGCCCAGGG